GGGGGGGGGGGGGGTGTTTAGGGTTGTAATAAGAAAAAGGTGAACCAAGGATAGGGACTGCACATAAGTTGCATAGTAGCACCAGCACCAACCAGGAAAGCCTCCAACCCTAAGTTAATGTTTAACATATTTAAGATTAAATTTGGAACAGATTGCAGTGACGTGATAAGTTGCTCGGACTCGGGTGCGGATCTAGATGTTGGATCCTTCATGATCTAAATTTAGATCATAAGATTCAGGTGCGGGGATTCAACTAAAATAATTCAAATGTCTAAAAATAGAGTTACAAGAATATGCCTAGATCGAGACATTATGTGGAAACTTATATGGTGCTTGTAAAGTGTAGAAAATTTCTCTTTTATATACAAGGAATTCCATTTTCTTCAATTTCACCCTAGTTTCTGTTTTTATTTCAAAAATCATTGTATCTATTTCGAATTTCTCCCTCGATTTTGGTCAAAGTACCCCAAATCGATTTACAAGATCCGCTACAGATCCCATACCCTCACCCACACCCACATCGTGTTGACGCGGGTGCGATACCGAAAGTGAAAGAGTCCGAGCAATTTAGGAGATATGAACCATTTTAAGTAGCTTACTTGGGGTCCAATGGACTATAACTTTGTTCATTAAAGGTTAATCCATTAGGAGATAATTATCTGAAAAAGGAAATGATGCTTTTAGAGCTCTGTTGTGAGAGGAGAGCTATTAGGATAAATTTCTGTCAAGAACTTCAAAAATCAGGTTATGATCATTCTCTCTTTTCTTTTCTTGTCTGCGTTAAATGGGGTTAAGTACATGCCAACAGGTGTTTCACTTAGGTCTTTGCAGTTCTTGCACCGAACTTTCAGTGTGATGATGGATTATGCACAATAGTTAGATTTACCTGCAAGCTTTCAAAGTGGATAAAGAGAGTAATCACTTTCACTATCGCCATTTGGTGTTCTATATTATCAAAACAAAGTAATGTTGATATATTCTGTTAGTGGTGTTTGTTGACTCAATTGATTCAATGCCATGATTGCAATCATCTCTTTCCATCTTTCCTTTGTGCCAGTACATAAGCTGGTTGTTAAACAATTTAAACCTGAAAATTTAACTGGATACTCTTTTGTTATCCGGGAAATCATTATGGGCTTTATGGTTAATGGTTATCTTTTATACAGGTGAGCCCTGAAGTCCACTTTGAGAAGGATCTGGGCTTAGACAGCTTAGATACAGTTGAGATTGTAATGGCTCTGGAGGAAGAGTTCAAACTGGAGATTCCAGACAAGGAAGCTGTCAGGATAGAATCCTGCGAACATGCAATTGAGTATATTTATAATCATCCAATGTCTAGTTAAACTCAATGCATCTTTGTTTGTTTGCATTTGTTCATCAAAATCAAAGGTACACTTGCTCCTTGTCGTTTGACTAGTTCAAGGTTGTAGAATTTTGATCCTCTTGAGAGAGGCAATAATCAGACTCTTTGGAAGACCAATTGCTCAGGCTTTGCCATTGAGGATTATATCATCATTTTGTTGCTTTTCTGGAAGACATGACTCAGTATTTATTCTGTTAGCGTCTTTCCTCTTATAATATCCGAATGCCACAAAATTCAAGCTTGCTTTGATTGTTGCACTGATTTGAAAAATCTGTCTACTCAGACTCAGGAACTTGTAAAGGTGATGCTGGATATTGAGCTGTGAAATATCTCCAGCTTATTATGAAGGGAAATTATCATCTGCAATAAAACCTCAAGGATTGGAGTGAATTAGGGGTGTGTTTGGCATGAAGGAAAATATTTTCCTGGAAAATGAGTGGTTTTATCACTTATTTTTCCATGTTTGGTTGGTGAACGAAAAACTTTTTCCGGAAATATTTTCTAGTGTTTGGTTAGAAAGTAAAAAAATATTTTTCTAGGAAAATAATTTTCTATGCTATTCTCTTCTCGTCCCCC